TGGCTCTTTATTAGTATTTAAAAATTTTTATGTAAAATATATCATAACCCATTAAAAAACAATTTTCTTAAGATCATTTAAACAGAGGTCTGTTTTCTGGCATACAGATCAAAGGCTTGGTAACATGACTTCAGATGAAAACTTCAGCGAATTTACACAAGGGATATAAATTCTTTCCTGATGGAAGTAATTCAGTAATTTCAGCAAAGATGAAACTCTCTGCTAGGAAAAATCTGATTCATTTACCTTTCTATATATTTAGTATTCATGTAGTATGTATAATTTCATATAATGCATTGTATACAATGTTACTTTTTTATTACTTTTTTATTTATTGCTATAAAATGTTACTTATATATAATTATATTGCTACTATATAATTATATTTCTACCAGCTCAATTAGTAGTTTACAAAAGAAAACAAATTCCAATTCAGTAGCACAAATATCAAACTTTAGAACATATTTTAGTTCCTATTCTTTTTTTTTTTTTTTTTAAGATTTATTTATTTATACAAGCACTGGGTACAGTCAGAAGCGCGGGAGGGTGAGAGAATTCACCAGAGTCAGAACGGGGAGCAGAGCAGGCAGAAGGACCGAGGTACACTGCTGAGGGGAGCAGCGGGCGGCAGGAGAGGTCTGAGCACCATGTGGGACCCTCCTCCGGTGGCCGGGGAGCAGCTGGGGATCGAACAGGCGCTGCGGAAGCTGCTGGTAGCTTCGCAACCCAGCGATCAACCGCTGCACCAGCCACCGGGGAGGCCCCATATTCCTATTCTTAATCTCCATTGTCACTCTCAGAAAAACTTGAGGATTCAGTCCCTAGAGAGAGAGTTGGGGGAGTCCAGCAATGATGAAAGAGGAGTATCACTTCCTATAGATCTCCTCCCTCTCTTCCCCTTGGGTGTGTTAGTTCCTATAAACAATGCAGGATGAGTTTGCAATTCAGTGTTTGAGATTTCTTCAGCGACCAAAACAACCAACCAATATTGACCAAGCATACCTTGTTTTTACCCATTTTGCAATATTGGGTGGAAAAAAATTCTCCAAAAGTAGCAGTTGATGTCCTAATTCCAAGGAGTGTGATTTCTGCATGCCATAGTCTGCTCATCAGTAATACTTGACCCTTCCTGTTCACTTTGACTGGAGGGAGACAGCATGATTGCTACATATTTACATATGTAAATGAAAGAAGTTTAATAAATTTCATCAAATCAGTTGCACAACTTCATAACATATGAAGACCGCATTGTTTATGTTTTAAATTAGTCCTTGAATTCAAGCCTTTCTGGGCATGAAACTGATCTCCAATACTTAAGATGGAGGTAAGTAGAACACATTTCACAAAATCAGTAAGTAAAATTGCACTAAAATTTGAGGATTCTCGGCAGTCATTTCATGGACTGTTTAGGAAAAATCTGATTCATTTAGCTTCTGTTTCATGAACCTTTATATTCAGTATTCATATATATAATTTCATATATTTAATGTGTATAATTATGCATTGTTATAAAATGTTACTTATATATACTTACATACTATATGCAAATAAATTTTAGGTAAAATATAACCTTTGTGGGAAATAAGAACTTTAGAGCAGTCTGCTACTTACTCTAGGGCCTTGGGACAGTAACTTGTCTGAGCATATAAATTCAGCTTCTGTCTCAGTTCTGATGGAGGGCAAAAAAATTTTAAATCAGTTTCTTTCTGCAAAATTAATCTTTCATCAACTGGAAAAAAAATGATGACAAACTTTCTTGTATTGCTAAGCCAACCTACAATGTATTAACTGTGTGAAAATTAACTGTTATTCATTCTTATACTCCAACAAGAAGATGGTATTTGAGAAAGTATAAAGAGAAAACAGTTTGGTTTTTTTTTAAAGATTTATTTATTTATCCATACAAGCACTGTGCACAGTCAGAAGCGTGGGAAGGTGAGAGAATTCACCAGAGTCAGAGCGGAGAGCAGAACAGGCAGACTGACAAGTACACTGCTGAGGGGAGCAGCGGGTGGCAGGAGAGGTCTGCATGCCATGTGAGACCCTCGCCCTGCGGCCGGGGATCGAACCAGCGCTGCAGAGGCTGCGGGCAGCCTCAAAATCCAGCACTCAACTGCTGCGCCACCGGGGAGGCCCCAAGAAAACAGTTTTTATGCTGAATAGAACATAGCAACCCTGTAATGCTACAGAAAAGAAAACCTGACATCCAAAGCTATTCATTAATTTGCCCAATTATACAATGGCTTACTAGCAAATTTGGGACTAAAACATTAGTTACTCTCTTGCCTTTATGTTCTTTCCATAGTGCAACTTAAAAAGATGCTTCCCAGCCTCTGTTGTACCTTATCTTTTGAATATCCAAGAGTAGACATGGAGAATTCAATGGAGAGATGACAGATACAAAGTTAACCAATGTACAGGCTTAAAAGGAGGTGATGATATGGATTCATTTAGACAAGGACTCGACTCTATGGCTTAAAATAGCCTAAGATGCTCACAGATAAAATGTAATACCCAATCAGCAAGTTGATAAAATTCTCTCCTTCCATTTCTGTTAACTTCAGTTCAAACCCATTATTCTCCCTTTCTTTCCCCCTTGTTATCTCACATTAATCAATTGTTTTGTTTTGCTGCCCAGTGGAACACTTGCTACTCAATGTGAGAATAATATTATCTTGAAATTCTACCCATGTAGTTTTACTCAAAAACAGGGGAATCTACTCTGTGACCTTGAAGGTATCAGCCACAATTGCAAGCAATTTGTGCAGAGGTTGGCAGGAATTAGCAGCTAATCAGACTGAATTCTAGAGTTAGAGATGAGGGCTGCCTAGGTTTTTGTTTGCTCTAGTCATTAACTCTTCTATCAGAATTGGAATTATTTAAAATTTCTGAAATACAAAGACACCGCAACTGTATTATTGGAAGATAAGCCTCCAAGAGTGGGTAAGCAGCAGGCTCCAGGTATTTGGAAGCTGGGTGGATGTGAGAAGGAAAGAAATGAGTAAAGCAGGACTTGGTGCTCTGATATTTCCCACATTTCCACCCCTCCTTGCTTTTTTCTGACTCTTCACTTTTTTTCCTTATTCTGCTTGTGTGTTTCCTGCTGGAGTGATAATTTCCCCCTCCTGTGTCCTCACTGACTACAGAACATGGGAGGAGATTGGTTAGAGCAGTTCATGACTGTGTAACTACTGAAGCTCAGAGGGGGTCCACTGATTTAAAAATAAAGCACCCCTCCTACAATCTTCAGCATCTGCAGAGAGGGCTGCTTAGAGAGGCCATCTTTGGAGGAGTTCTAGAAGCATCAGAGCAGGCAGGGGCTTTCAGGAATGCCACTGCCCGCGTTAGAGAAGGGCGCACGGGCTCTGTACCGGGTGGTGAGACACCTCCTGAACGGGACATCAGGGTTGTTTGATACTTCACTGTTCCAGGTAGGGAGGCCTTAGGCCTTATGCACACAGGAACCCTTGAGAGTAGAAGAAGCACCTTTAGTAGCTGTCAGCACAGCAGCAATCAGCTCAGCTGTCCCTGGCATTCCTGGGGTTCAGCCACCTCATCCCCATGGCCCTGAGGGGATGTGTCCAGCACTGGTGCGATTCAAGGAAATTGGAAAATATATGAAATCTCTCTCTCCTGGTGCTGTTTATCCTACATTGTCTGATTCCTTGGCATCTCTTCTCTGCTGAGAAGATGAATAAGATCTCCCACCCTCCATCCTTTAGAAAAGCTTCTTGCTGATTCAGATTTCATTTTGAGAAAATCTGAAGACTTCAAAACATTAAATTTCTTATAAAGAATGGAGACCAAGGTTTTTAAAAAAGCAATGCTAGCTTGAGACTAAAATATGAAGAGTAAATTGGTGAAAGGGAGGTTTTAAAGATATATTATTGCAAGAATAATGCTTAGGAAAAATTAGAACACAAAACAGGTAAAATTAAAGTCTGCTTACTCTCCTCCATCCCCATCTCCCAAGGGTTACATTTTCTTCTTTATTTTTCAAGGTAACATTTCATTTACATATTAATATATAGCATGATAACATGTATTTAAGTATATATAGTACTTTTTGAAATTGGTGGAACCTGTACAAATATCCAGTAACTGACTTTTCTCATACATTTGAACATTTCATATCCATATTAATGTCTCCAATTTTTTGGTCAGATGAAAGCAAGGGAACATTTTTTAGGGAACTAACAGCCCTAGAATAAGTAGAGCAAAACTCAAACTCACCTCGCTAACATGTTGATGACCATGAATTATGAAAAATTTATATTCTGATATTGATAAAATAGTGTCCTATTAAGACTTCTTCAGCTGGTGGAGATGACATCTTTTTTTTTCTAGGATTTATTTATTTATGCATACAAGAACTGGGGTACAGGCCAGAAGTGTGTGGGGGGTGAGAGGATATACCAGAGACAGAGTGGGGAGCAGAACAGGTGGATTGACTGAAATACACTGCTGAGGGGAGCAGTGTGAGGCGAGGCAGGAGAGGTCTGCCTCGCCATGTGGGTTTCTCCCTGGCTGGGGATCGAACTCATGCTGCAGAGGCTGCGGTTAGCTTCGTAGTGCAGTGCTTAACCCCTTGCGCCACCAGGGAGGCTGGAGCTGACATCTTAATACCTCTAGGAAATGTAGAGTCAGGGGTCCCGCCTCTCTTTCAGGAACATGAGTGGCATTCTGCCAGGCAATTTACACTAAAGTCACATTCATGCTTCCCATTGAAAGGTTACCAGGAGTCCTAGTGTTGGGTTTTGATGTTTGGGGCAATAAGGGAGGAACAGGGAAAGTGAGTTTTCAATTGGAGAGTCATTTTCATTTTTCCTGTTACATTAGGAATTACTGATGATTTCTGAAATCTCTGAGCACTGAATTGCTATAGTTCCCTCCACCCACACTGCTCTCTTTCCAAGGGGCAGGGTCTAGACTACGCAGTGCAGGTTAAGGCCTCACATCCAGACAGCACAGGAAAGCATTGTTTTCTTCATTTTACAAAGGAAGAACCTGAAGATCAGAGGATAAGAAACATTCTCAGGCAGTGTGACTAAGCAAGGAAAGGAGAGGAACCCACAATTATCAGATTTCAAATTCCATGTTATTAAATTGCCTGATTTCCGAGGTTCTACAGGAAAGAAGACATCTTAAATTGAGTCTGATTCCTTTCTAGGTAATGTCTATATTGTTTGTTTTTTAGGGGGTGGGGATGGGGAGTGAGATTTAATCAATTTTAACTGATTCACACAAAGAAGGAATGTCATTGGCATTAGGAATGCCAAATGGCAGGAGCTGAACCCACATCCATCTACTAGTGGGCATCTAAGTAGAAAGACATTAGAACAATGAATCTACAAAATAACAAAAGATCGAAGCATAAATTCTCTGTATGTGGAAACTGATGACAAAATTTTACTTAAAAATTCTGCAATTCATTTTGTTCACACACTGTGTCAAATATAGAAATGCTTGACAAGATCAATATATTTTTATTGATATTTTTCACATTACAAATAATATCAGTCTGTGATTGATGCAAATTATTTACAAAATGGTTATAGCCGAGGGTACATAATGTATTTATTAACTGACTGACTTTGTATATTTCAGGGAGCCAAGAACTGAACCAGCCAACATGCGTCTGGTCAATGAGAGCGCCCCACAGGAGTTCATCCTCTTGGGATTCTCAGATCGGCCATGGCTGGAACTCCCACTCTTTGTGGTCTTCCTGGTCTCCTATATCTTGACCATCTTTGGCAATCTGGCAATAATTGTTGTGTCCCGCCTGGATGCCAAACTCCACACCCCCATGTACTTCTTCCTTACCAATCTCTCCGTCCTGGACCTCTGCTACACCACAAGCACCGTCCCTCAAATGCTGGTCAACATCTGCAGCACCAGGAAGGTCATCAGCTACGGTGGCTGTGTGGCCCAGCTTTTCATTTTCCTGGCCTTGGGCTCCACTGAGTGCCTGCTCTTGGCAGTTATGTCTTTTGACAGGTTCATCGCTATCTGTCGGCCTCTCCATTACTCGGTGATCATGCACCAGCGCCTTTGCCTCCAGCTGTCAGCTGTGTCCTGGATCAGCGGCTTCAGCAACTCGGTCCTGCAATCCACACTGACCCTCCAGATGCCTCTGTGTGGCCACAAAGAGGTGGATCACTTCTTCTGCGAGGTCCCTGCCCTGCTCAAGCTGTCATGTGCAGACACCACAGCCAACGAGGCTGAGCTGTTCTTTATCAGCGTGCTCTTCCTTCTAATACCTCTTACACTCATTCTTATCTCTTACGCTTTTATTGCCCGAGCTGTGTTGAGAATCAAGTCAGCTGAAGGTCGACGAAAGGCATTTGGAACATGCGGCTCCCATCTGGTGGTGGTGTCACTCTTTTATGGCACTGCTATCTATATGTATCTGCAACCACCTTCCCCTGCCTCCAAAGACCGGGGCAAGATGGTGTCCCTTTTCTACGGGATCATCACCCCCATGCTGAATCCCCTGATATACACACTCAGGAACAAAGATGTGAAGGGAGCATTTAAGAGGCTAATTACCAGGGTCTTCTTAATGAAGACATAGAAATACCCAAATGAGAGGCCTTGTTAAAGACATAAAGTTTTAGTATTTTCATTCTTTCCCAGTTGCTTTATTCTACGGCTTATAGAACTATCTGATGATCTAAGTCAAAATAAAATGTCATTGGCATTTATTTTCTACTGACAATTCGTTACACAGGTCCTGAGAACTGTGTGACTAAGCAAGTGTGACTAAGCAAGGAAAGGAGAGGAACCCACAATTATCAGATTTCAAATTCCATGTTATTAAATTGCCTCATGATCAAATTCCATGTTATTAATTGCCTCATGATCCCCTAAAACAGTGTGACTCTAAAATAGCTAAGGCTTTGAGCTTTACACCACTGGTTTAAATACTTGATGAAGAGTCTTAGACATCCGTGACACTAAAATGGGCTTAGGAAACAAAACATTTTTATAAATGTGCAGCATTCACACACGCACTCACTCATGCCACGAATCCTTTTCTCAGTTGTAGATCTAATAGAAAGCCAAGATTAATAACCCTAGCTGAAAATTTTTAACACTGTTCTCACACCCACATAATACTGAAACTCAATAATTTTTCTTCCAGTATTACCTAGAGCTTCCATTCTGTTTTTCTATACGTTCCACTTTTCCTAAATTGAAATTATCCACCTACCAAAGAAAATTGTAGCTACTTAAAGACTTGTTTCTTGAAAATATTCTTATGATTCCTCTGTTAGTTAAATTATCTTTCTCTTTTTAACCCCTAAAGCAATTACAATCTAAATGTTAGGAAGGAAAAAAAACCCACATATATACCATCCATTACTTGTTTACATGCATTTTTTTTGGACGAGAAGAAAAGCTTATTAATTCTATGTTCCCTTGGTGTAGCATAAATCATACTTCCTCTCTACGCCCTTGCAAGCTCTTCAAAGTGCTGAGGAAAATACTCACTGTGAGTTAGTTATTTGGCTGATGGAATGATTTGTGACACTGTAATAATTTTAATTGCTTCTTTACTATCCTTTCCCTAATGTTTCTTCTACTATAAGTATGACAAAAAAACAGAAAATACAATAACTAAGAAATACAATTAGCAGTTTTTCTTTAAGACCTTATAGTAACAACGTGCATTTCTGCTTCAGTAATTCTAACACCACACAGCAGATCTTAAAATCAGACCCACCAGGAAGGCTTTTAGAATCCAGACTATTTGGGTGTCACCCCACTGTTAAAAACTCCTATGGATTCCAAGGTCTGAGGTAGGACCTACCCCATTTCTAATGAATGCTGATCAGGGGAACAACCTTGAGGGACTGCTGGGTTCCTATCTTTTATCAATGAGAACTATAATTAAAAGGGAAAATGGAAACAGAACATTAAAAGACTGTATTAACATTTGAGGGAACATTTCCCAATGAAAATGTGTTCATATTTTGAAGTTCAAATAAATGATATAATAGATAATTTTGATGTGATCTCAAAGCCAATGTCAGTGACCTTTAAGGAATTATGAGAAAATAGCAATGAAGCCAGAGTGAGAGTGATGGAAATTGAAGTATTTTACATACTTTAAATGAATCACTAATTGATTCAATACACTAGAAAATGGTAAGGTTTAAAGTGATTTATGACAAAATTCTACAAATATCAATTCATGACTAATTCAAGTATTTACATAATACACATATGTAAATACATGTTCTGTTTGTATTAGTTAAATGCATTATATATGTGAGATATGTATTTGTTATTTAATATATTATTTGTATACTATAATTTATTATTTAATGTGATATACTATTTACATATATGATTATTTAATGTATTTTTATATATAAACAGAATTCATTCTGAATTCATTGAAAGATACTATATAGGCCAATATATTTGTACAAATATCCTGACTGCAGAATAGAAATTGCAAACACTTCTCATGATAGTTTTGTATAATATGAAGAAATAGTGACCAAGAAGGAAAGCAATTCTATTTGTTCCTATCTGTTTATAAAACTTCACTCAAAAAATGATTAATAATATACTACCAGTCTGGAAGGTAGGTATTTTTGCTGCAGGACTAATTTTTTTATCCATTAAAATATATACTTATCAATAATGTGTATGAGCTTAAGATAGGCATAACAGATAAAAAATGACACTAAACTGAGAGAAATCGATGTCTGTGGAAGTGAGAAATAAAGTTAAAATATCAAAGCAATAAATAAATGGGTGAAATTTAACATGAACTAATACAGAGGTATTTATTCCACATTATAGATGGAATATGATCTGCCTGTGAGTTCTATAAAATTTCATTTGGGAACATACTGATAATGAAAGATGTAGCTTATTGGCTTCAGTCTTAGGATTCATATTTTAATAAGTACACTGTAAAATTAAAATACTTTATAATTTATAATGATAGCTGTCTCTTAATGAAAACCTTTAATTTCTAATGTCAACATGGTTACATTTCTCCTTCATCCTACATCAGTAAAATATAATTTTAAGTAATAATAGAATATTTCTTTAGTAGGAAGGAACCCCTTATCACATAATACTTGGTGTCTAGATCATCTTGTCTTTTAAGTTTTGATACTGAGGGCATGTAGCCTGGGTTCTTGGCTGGCGAAGTAATCAAATTAACAGCAAATGGCATAACAAAGGAAAAGTCAATTTAATAATATAATGGGGAGAATCTATGTAATTATAAATTATACAGCAAAACTGGGGTGGGCCAGGAATATATATTAAGAATGAGGGCATTAAGGAGGGGAGATAAGTGGACATCTTACATGAAAAGGAGGGAATGATGTCATCCTTTTCATCTGAGAGTAAGGGATGAGTTTCTCAGGTGGGCTGGACATGTTCACTGATAAACCTCTACCTGGGTGATACCCGCCAAAATATATTCTTAGAGGCCATGAACTGATGTTAACAACCACCCTCCCCTTAATGGGAGAGTTCATTTGCCCGTGTTGGGACAGAAAGCCAACAATTCAGAAACCAGCTTGTTAAACAGACCAAGAATTTTATTGTCTGGAGGATTGGAAAAGGGAGAATTTGGGTTTAAAAAAAAAGCCACATGTAGTCTCTGAGATTCAAGGTGGAGTTTCCTTTTATTTGGGGGCCTGGTACCGCATGTGTTTGGGGCAGTCTTGACGGGCATGCACAGAAGGCCTGCCCTTGCACTTGACTCTCTCACATGTCCCTGTTTTCCACTCAGTTGCCAGTTCTATGACTACTGCTCTCCTATCACACTTTGAGGGGAACTGGACAGAGGTTATTTTTCCTAGATTGTATTTTATTTAAGTGCCTGTGCTTTAGCTGATAAATAATGTAAGAGAGGAAAAGAAAAATGGAGCCATCTGGAGCCTGGGTATGAACTGAGGAGTCAGAAGGCTCTTGACAGTCTGGTTTCAGGCAATGCTCATGCGGGTGAGAGACACATGGGAGTGGGGGGAAATGGCCCCCCTTTACCTTGATTTGTACTTTTGTAACAGGATGGTGTCCAGGAAAGGGGAAGATTCCAGGTTCCCTGCCCCACCCAAGGGAGGGTAGAGCTGAGCAGGGAGAGAAGAGGCTGCAGAGGAGACTGAGGAAGGAAGGAAGCAGGATGGGGAGCCAGAAGAAGACCTGGAGGGGGCACATGGAGCAGAGAGACACGTGAAGAAACTGCACTTGCCTTTTGGTCGTGGACTGGGTGACACAGATGTGGGTGAGAGACCCGTGGGGAGGTGACCATGGCGGTTTTTGTCTTGATTTTGGTTTTGCTCTTTTCCCTCCAGACTTGTTTCTGACCCTTTTCCGTGGGTCCCCACTGGAAGATGCTTTAGACTTGTGGCAGGCTTTGGGGCCTTGCCCTGGACCAATCCCATTTGGATGGAGTTTTACCCATGAGGGGACGGGTAACTTTCGGTGCTTGATTTGAAAACTATATTCTTTGCCTTTCCTGTATTGTTTCCTAATTGTATTAAAGTTCCTTCGCATTGAAGTCTCATATATTTTGTGTTGATGTGGTGGATGGCAGAACCTATTTAGAGCAGGCAGGTTTGTGGGGCCTGGGGTGCCCTTCTCCCTGTCCTGTAACACTTTGATTTTGCTCCTTTCATTCCAGAATTGCCTGGCCCTATCTGCCCCTTTCCTTTGGTTTCCTGCCAGAAGGTGCCTCCGACTTCTAGGAAGCTTTTGTGCTCAGCGGCTCCAATTTGTGTTAACCTTGCTTGGGCATTTACCCACAGGGGACGGGTGTTTAATTGGGAAATTATTACCCTTTCTTCTCTTCTCTCTCTATGTACACTCTTGTTAAAGTTCTTTTGCACTGAGTAAGCTTTGTCTTTATGTGGTGGATGGCAGAACCCATTTAGAGCATGCAATTTTGGGGGTCTCAGGGTGCTCCTCAGTCTGCCCCGTAACAGAACTACCATAGACTCTGAAACTAAAATTAAGTACAAATGTGTATGCATACTGCCTTGTAGGGAGTGCATCCAGCTCTTTGATCACAGTGGTCAAAACTACAACAGGGGCCTCCCTGGTGGCCTAGGGGTTGAGTCTCGGTGTTATCACCACTATGGCCCGAGTGTGATCCCTGGCCAGGGAGTGACCCACATGGCACAGCAGACCTCTCCCGACTCGCCCACTGCTCCCCTCAGCAGTGTATTTCAGTCAATCTGCCTGTTCTGTTCCCTACTCTGTCTCTGGTGAATCCTCTCACCCCCACACCTCTGGCCTACACCCCAGTTCTTTAAAAAAAGAAAAGCATGCTAGGCCCAAAATGAAGCCTGTTTATGTCAAGGCCCACCAAGACACAATACCTAACCTAACTGAAATTTCAGCCTCACCCAAAAGTGGAATTTTAAATCAAATGAAGGGTGGATCTCCCTAGCATATCCAGGACGGGCCTTCCTAAGTCATGTCACTTTGTCACATTATTACAAATTGAAATCTGTCAAGGTCCTGCAGGCTCAGAAGAAATCTTTACCACTCTATTAGTTACTAGAAAAATGAAAACTGGGGGTATTAACTCAGACTTGGGGTTACCTCGAGAACTACCCTTTATGTTGGAGAGGCCTGTCTATGCAGCAGGGCAAACATCTAATTGCAGAGCATCTTCTCATCAAAGCCCCCTGACCCTTATTCTAGTACACACCCTCATTTTGCCCCAGTGGCTTTAGAATCTACATTCACGTCATCTTTCTTTGGAGGTGTAATTGATTTTGTTTTCTCCTGCTAATCTGTCTGATGTTAATTTGATTGCTGGACCAACCTAAGAAAAACCCAAAAGGCTAGGGGGAGATTTACTTCTCCTAAAGGAAGATGGCTTTGCCTGAAATGATCGTTCTTTTCTTGTCCATCCTCGTTTCTAACTATAAAAACCTTCCACTTTGTGCAGCTCCTTGCAGTGATTTTGTTTTCTAGATGAGATCCTGCCCCACACCTCAACTCTTTAGTAGAGAGCTCTAAATTTACTCACATGAATTTTTTTCCGAAGAATTTTATTTTTTGACACTGTTGTTACAGGGGTCTATGAACCTGCAAATTAAGAACCGCCCCCCTTCCCCCAGACTTTAAAGGCTGAGGGTCACAAACAGCAAGAGTGCCCTTGGCCTTGAGCAATGGTGAGCTTTTAAAAGTGCGTTTAACTTAAGTTTGATGCTCACGTTTGTACTCTAAGAGTTGGCAGAATCTCCCTAAAAAAAAAAAAGACAGGAAAATTTGAGTTTCAGAGGAAAATTAGAGCACGCTCTCGGTGTGGTGTCATCTGATTCTAATTCTATGGGAGTGATTTTTACATAACTCTAGATTGTAGTTAACAAAAAATTCCTGTCTATGGACTCGCAAATTATTCTGCGGGGGGGGGGGGGGGAAGGTCCCCTCCTCCACCCACTTCCCGTTTCAGTGGAAAACACCGATTTAACCTTATTTACAAGTTTATTTCACTATTCCTGATCAATAACGTGACGTCCGTTTCCGGATTCTGGTAATAAATACCACCTCATCAATTACCTCATTCATGAATTACATAAAAAAATTATTTTTATTTTTTACATCATTGTTCATATTTAAACAATGTTTGCTTTTTTCCCCTCTTAAATAAAAACATTTAAAAGGTTTTATAAAAACATTTGTATGAGTCGGAATTGCGTCTTTGATAAAAATTACCCTTTAAAGAGACCTTTTCGCTTCCTTTTCTTAGATTTTTTAATGTCCCCTCCATAAAGAGGCCAACCGAAACATAAAAGCAACCCGTGAAATTCCTGAATCCCCCTCGACCTCGCCTTTTTTTGGGGTGACCAGCAGAGACCAGGCCGGTGCGCCCCTCTTCTGCCCCCTCCTAGCCCTTCTCTACGATCCTCCACTAACTTTTCTTCTTCCTTCCTTCCCCCGACCCGCTCTTCTTCCACTGTCTCCACCAAAGCCAGCTCCCCACCCCGGAGCCCCCCACTTCCCAAGCTAACTAGGGAGTTAGGCATCCTGTCGGGGTCGTCCGGGATTCGAACCCTCAGAGCCGCGGAGCGTCGCATCAGGCCCCAGGCCCCCAAGCCCCGGCGGAAGCGGCGAGCGCGCGGGCGACCCGGGCGGAGCGCTGCCTGGGGAGGCGGAGCTGTAGCGCGGGCCAGCCGCCGCACGCCGG